CTTTCGAAACGTTGTACTTGCGAAACGTTGTATTTGCGAAACGTCACACTTGCGAAATGTCACACTTTCGAAACGTCGTCTTTCGAAACGTCGCGGAGCCGAATTTTTCGCGAGATTTCTATAATTTCTTGACGATTTTTTAATGCCCAACAAGTTTATTTCAGCCCAGTTTTCGAATTTTATCAACTTTTTCGCAAAATTGGTCATAACATAACAAATTCTCTGATTTTAAGTCAGAATTTCTCTGTTTTTGGTCGATTTTGATTTGTTTGTGAATTTCTGCTATAAAATTACATATTTAATGTGATTGCTTTGTAGAATTCATCTTTTCCGAACAATTTTCTCAAGAGATTTTAAAAAATTCCGTTAAAATCGGTTTAGTTCTTCAATAATTCACTTTCGTGTCGAGATTCAAACAACAATTCCACTGTGTGCGCCTTGGATGTCGATTTACGAGGAGTACTGTAATAATTTTTTTTTGCTGCAATTTTCGACAGATGCATCCTCAGAGATTCGACGGGAGAAAACTGGGAGAGAAAGGGGGTCTGGAGAAAACGCCGAGAGAACCAGGTTCGAACGGCTGCAAAGCTGCTAAAATAGGCGCACCTGTAAAAGTGGAGCGTCGTTAGGAAAAACAGTTTTTTTATAATTTATAATATTCAAAGTTTTATTCATGCATATGTTCTGTTTATATTTACGTCTTCTATAGAATACTGCGATTTTTATGACCGACAAAAAAACGACGATTTTGAGAATTTCGAATTCGGAGAGAGCTCTGCAGGTAACATTTTTTCCGTCTTTTTCAGCGTTGAATGGTTTTGTAAAAATTATGAAAGAGATAACCGAAAAAGGAAGAAGAGATCGATAAATTGCTCTCACCTCGATTTACACTATTTCAAAAGGTTTGAGTTTCGGAAACCGCGGCTTGTCGTGAGCAGGTTAGTCTGGAAGTCTAGTGACAAAAACATGCGTGAAATTGCAGGTCTTCAATTGAATAAATAAAACGAGTTATGACCCGATCAAAACGGTTCAAATATACCAGGATTTCTTATATAAAATGAGTGTAAATTGATTCTGATTTGCGGCGTTCTGAGTACGGTGATTATGTACACGGATATTGAACTCAATGTACTTAGCGAGGTTGGTTCGACATGCCAAAAAATTCATTATGATCTAAATATTGTTAAGAGGGTTTCCAGAAGAGTATACAAATGAACTTCTCAGGAGTCGCATTTCTCGTCATTGTTTCCTAAATATTGCGAGAAACATTCGGTGAAAGTTTGCCGTTTAGTGCAAAATCTCTCGGATAACGTCACTCGGAATAAACATGGAAAACTTGGGAACCTTACGTTGTCAGGAAAGATAGAGAATAACTCGATTTATTGGAAACGATGACACAGTGTAAGCTTTGAGTGAGTTTATTGACAACATCACATAATTAAAAACCTTGTTCTTTCAGTTGAATCTTCTTTGATTTCATAAAGAATATTCATCCTATCTACAACCCCAAGCCTATGATGATTGAAAGAGAAATTACAAACCTGTAAACAACGAAAAGCTAAAGAATTCGAATTGTGATTTTATTTTCTGAAGTACTGAGTGAAAGTGCATTTAGATTGCACTAAGAAGCGAAGAAGATAACTTATTAAATGAATCTCAAGGAAGAGTATACATCGTCCGCTAGAGGACATAAATGTACTATGAACAAAACGGTATGAACACTTCCATTTTGCAGACTTATGACCTATTTCTCATTCCAGAGCTCCAGTCGCCATAATGCTACAAGCTGCAAAAATACGAGAGCACTAAAGAAGGTTTGCAGGAGAGTTCCGGATATCGCGATTCACTTCGAAGTTCTAAATACTGCGATACCGAAGCTGAGAATAAGAAGTTAGCTCACATTTCTATTATTTCATGAGGTTATTTTTTTTTACTTTTTAGCTATTTATACTTATATTCTTACTATTCATTCGATTCAATAAATATTTTTGTTAAAGGTGGGGGGACATGAAAAAAATAATGTTCTCGAAATTTCGTTTAAATATGCCTCTCGAGGAGTTGAACGTGTGGGACGAGGATTGAGGGTGCGGCGCCGCTACCGACTGAGCTACACGGGCAAAGAGAAAGCGGTCGCCCGATTGCATACATAAAGGCGAGGACGACAACTGTACGCAGAGTGGCATTAAGCGTTGTACACCGTCACGGTAGAAGGCATACTCTGGCCCCAAAAATCCCCCGTAAAATCTCCTGTCTCCCCACCTTTAATTAGTTCGACTTGATTGTTAATAAAGGGGTGAAAGTTTAAATTTCACTGAAAGCGCGCGCGCAAACGACACTCCGCTGCTCGTTCGAACCAGGAGAGAAGCTGGAGAGAACACAGTGACATATCTGTTCGACCCAAAACCTCTCCCAGTTCGAACCGATATCTCTCCCAGTTTTCTCCCGTCGAATCTCTGAGTCCTTTTTTGCCGACTTTTTTGCTGTTATACAAGTTCATTTGGGCTTTTATTTTAAATTTCTTGACTTTTCTACCTAAATTGCGCATAAGAGAACAAATCCATAAGTTTCTAGTCGTAAATTCGCCGTTCTATAATCGTTTTTTTATGTTTTGCTTGCATTTTTGTCAACAAAATTTGTTTTTCACACAACAGTTTCGGTATTCGTTATTTTTCTTGTATTCTCCGAAATTGATCACTATTGTAATTATTCCAGATGGCTCCGTACGGTGGATTGGATCAACTGAACGTGCAGTTGCTCCAATTTCTAGTTGAAAAAAACGGAAAGCGCGACGGCGCCGATGGTGGTCACCCAGTTGTTTCAAAAATTGGCAGAAATTCAAGGACAGAAAAATGAAGCAAGGAACTTCAAGGAACGCTTCGATCGGTTCCGTCACACGATTCATCAGATCGATGAGTTGAATATGGAAGCAAAAGTAAAGATGCTGTTCGCATTAAGCGTACCAGTCGATGCGTATTTTCTAGATGAGTAAGAGATTTGGATATTCGAACTTCAGTGAGTAAAAAATTGATTTCAGCATGAAGAAAGATGCGGACGTGTCAGTTGATGAGTGGTCTCGAATCACTTATTACAAAAGGAAAGATGGAGAGCTTGAATTAAAAGGAAACCATGTAAGGGATTCGTAAATCTTCAAAATACCGACAAGTTTCAAAAATATATAATTCCAGCCCCGCCACGTCTTCGTTGAAAGAGACTCAAAAATACAAGGCACGTTACGCGCCTCAAAAATACAAGGCACGTTACGCGCCTCAAAAATACAAGGCACGTTACGTGCCTCAAAAATACAAGGCACGTTACGCGCCTCAAAAATACAAGGCACGTTACGTGCCTCAAAAATACAAGGCACGTTACGTGCCTCAAAACTACCAGGCACGTTATGTGCCTCAAAAATACAAGGCACGTTACGCGCCTCAAAAATACAAGGCACGTTACGTGCCTCAAAAATACAAGGCACGTTACGTGCCTCAAAAATACAAAGCACGTTACTGTCTATTCAATAAAACGTTACGTGCCTCAAAAATACAAGGCACGTTACGTGCCTCAAAAATACAAGGCACGTTACGTGCCTCAAAAATACAAGGCACGTTACGTGCCTCAAAAATACAAGGCACGTTACGCGCCTCAAAAATACAAGGCACGTTACGTGCCTCAAAAATACAAGGCACGTTACGCGCCTCAAAAATACAAGGCACGTTACGGGCCTCAAAAATACAAGGCACGTTACGTGCCTCAAAAATACCAGGCACGTTATGTGCCTCAAAAATACAAGGCGCGTTGCGCGCACGTTTTATTGACTAGACAGTACGTGCCTCAAAAATACAAGGCACGATATGTGCCTCAAAAATACAAGGGACGTTACGTGCCTCAAAAATAGACGTTACGTGCCTCAAAAATAGACGTTACGTGCCTCAAAAATACAAGGCACGTTACGTGCCTCAAAAATACAAGGCACGTTACGTGCCTCAAAAATACAAGGCACGTTACGTGCCTCAAAAATACGAGGCACGTTACGCGCCTCAAAAATAGACTTGCCACACAACGCCACGTGGGAAATGGACAAATGCCTTCCGGAAAATCGGATCGATAAATTCGTCCTGGAATTCTTGGTTCAGCAATTAAAGACTTTTCAACGAAGGCTTGGAGTTCGAGTTGTCTGCAAAAATCCTGAACTTTTGAGAAAAACTTTTTTGTGTCGTGATCTGACTCGAAAGAAATCTGAAGAATCCGTTAGTAAACTTTCAATTCCATATGAGTTTGGTGCATTTCTTTAGCCTCATTAATAAACTCTAATTTGAATTTCTAATGTTGATGTTTCGCTTCCCTTCTCAAATGTTCATGAACAAAAAACAACGTTGCTTGGAATTATTCATCGGGTGCCTGGAAACTGCGGATCGTCGCTTGGAGACTTGCTGCCTGACGGCATTTTTTGCGTCTTTTTCTTCACTTTTTCGAATATTCCTTTCCTCTCATTTTTTGAGGAAAGAGATGAAAACTCTTCTAGTTTTCTTATTCCTATTAATCTGTTTGAATGGAATCGCGACTCAGTGCACTTCTGACACCATTCGTAAGAATACTTGGGCTACGGTGTTTTTTTTCGAAATTTCATGTATATGCGCTCATACGCGAATAATAGTAAACTACAGTAAAACTAGCGTTGGTCTCGACGCGGAAGCTTCAAAGAGGTTTTATTCTTGTCCGATGAACTCCCGAAGCAAAAATAGCTACGGTTAACCGTTTTTACAAATGAATTCAAGCGCTTTTGATACAGTACTTTGAAATTCATTTATTTCGACCCGTATTAAGGTGTTTTTCTACTTCTAAAAGAATTTCTGATGATTTTTCATGAGGATCAGAAGAAAATAAACAAAAACAAGCAAAAATAAAATAGTTCCGAAGTACTGTATCAAAGACGCATGAATTTATTTGTAAAAACTGTAGCTGCTTTCGCTTCAGGAACGTCGCTGCGCCTTTAAATAAAATTTCGGCCACAAGGTTGATCGCTGCCGGAAAAGAAACACCTGCATTCCATCGGAAAAAAAGCGGGAAACAACGCAAAACGTTCAGGAAAATACATTGTGACTTTAGATTAGAAAGTTTAAGATAGCTGATTTTTCAGCTGATTCATTGGCAACGTTGACTCAATATGAAGTGGGAACTGAGGGAGATGGTAATCGAAGTTTAAGATATCGAAAACGAATTTAAGAATTTACAGATTATTACAGTCACTTTCTAGTGAATGGAGGTGCTTCGTTCACCTATGGAAATGTATCGGCTGAGGCCATCCGTGAATTGGTAGTTTTTAATACCAATGTACACGAAAACATGCGTTTCTTCAGAGTGCCTATGCTATATCTGCAGCTACCACGAACTGTACATCATCCTGCTTGACTTCCGTTTCAGCGTTTTATAAAGCAGACTCTGATAAGTGTAAGTTGTACCTCATATAGAGTAGATAATACCTTTTGTTCTTAGTGACTCTAATTATGCTCCGCCCATCTGATGAATCCCTTTACCCTAACTACACAAGTATGGGTCTTCCTCCTTTCCTATGTGCAACTGTTTCTGGAAACTGTGGATCTACGAAACCCTTATACCAGTTCTACTCATCCACATATGAAGACTACTATGCTGACGTTGAGCAGATGAATAACACCAATGCCACGTATTCCGTTGCGATGATGGGTGATCCTTTGTGTTATCTATGGATCCCATTGACAACTACAACAACTACAACGACGACTACAACAAGCCCACTTAACACAACAACTACGGTACCTGTGAATGGAACAACAACTACAATCCCACTGAATGAAACCACCAACACGTCACAAACAAATGAGACAACAACAACTCTGCCCATCAATGGAACTACAACTACTCTTCCCTCAAATGGAACCACAAATGGTACCACCACCACAACACCTCCATCAAGTGGAAATGTCACAACTAACACATTACCGTCGACCGGAACCAATACAACGACTCCAAGTTCAGGCGGAAACAACTCCACTAATTCTCCAGATGGCGGAGGATCCGGTGAGCCTCCAGGAAACTCGGATGGGGATAATGAAGAGAATAAAGGTATGATTTGTGGTTGGTGCGTGCATTTTGGGGAGAAAAGCAGGAGGAAACAAAGAAATAGGTCATTAGAAATCCAAAAGACTAGAGAATATGCAAGAGACGTCACCAGTGAAAAAATGCGTCTTTAGAGTTGCGTGGAGTCCAAAAAGTTTTGAAAAAAGATAATTTGGATGGTTTTTTTTAGTGTTAAGGTTCTTATATAATCAAATTGTCGTTGATATGATATCGGATTGTCATTGGTCCGTTATTGGCTTGCCTAACTGTGAACCAACCCTACTTTTCCCCTTTGAGCTAATTTATCTTGGTTCCGGTAGAAGATACCAAAGAGTGATCAACTGACAAAATGTTAATGGTATCATGAAAAACATTTTATTAGTTGACTACTTTTAGATATCTTTTGGAGGAAATGAGATATACAATCTCAAAGTTTACGGCTTGAGAATGCTGTATTAGAGTGTCTTCGGCGCCCAACCCACCGTCGATCTGAAATCGCGCCGCCATTGGATCGTTATTGGCTCGCTTAGCTATGATCGTTCCTATTTATAAAAAATACAATAAATCCGAAGTAAAATTTCAAATTTCAAAATTTCAGGATGGTGGCACACTTGGAGATGGCCAATTATCGTCGCTGCTTGCTTAACTGGAGCATCCATAATTCTGTCCCTCATTGCCTGTCTAACATGTTGCTTCATTGGAAGTGCCGCTGTCGCAGCCAAACCATACTCTCCTCCCCCGATTTACACTTCTCCATCTCCCCCAGAGCTCCCACCAAATCCAGTTGAGGCGCCATCCGTCCAACCGTTCACCGTCGGATTGCCACCAAGTGTTCCCTATTAAAATTTTTTGGATAGTGAACTCCATTACCATATAATATCTGTTTATTTGAATAACTCAAACACAAAAATGATTTGTTTTTTGGATAAGAACAATTTTGGTTCTTCTTTTGTGGACACATAATTTTCTGGTATTTTTTGGGGTGAAAAGGTGTTCGGGAAGTTTTGTACACGTTTGGTGAAGAGGAAAAAAATAAAAGAGACAAAAAATAAAAGATATGAAGAAAAAGCGACTAAATGGTAAAAACAGCTAAAAACGACTAATGGAATGTTTTGATGGAAAATTGACACATAACGATTGGAACATCTCTCAGAAAGAGTGTCGCTGAAAAACATGATTTGCTTAAAAGTAGAGAAAAAGAAAAAAAAATAAACAAATGAAATCGAAAAAAAAACAAGAAGGAAAAACGTTTAAAAATGTACAGGAACGACATCAGCTTGAGCAAGAGGAGCCGTTGACTTCTGGCGTCAGAAGATTTCTCCGCCGATTTCGGTCTGCTTCAGAATCTCCTGATCCATGATTCCTCGGTGTTCCGGAGAAAGGGGTCCATCAAGGGGTGGCAGGACGGGAGCAAGACGTGTCGGTGGGGACATTGACATTCGTGGCGGTGGTGGAGCAGGCATATCGGGTGCTTCGTTCAGCGACAATGAGCTCATACCGTTTCTGAAATTGGATTATGTTGGATATGGAGATCAGATGTCGTTGAGGAAGGGCGGAGGGGTGTGAGTCATCTGTTTGCTATTTTGAATATCGCGCGCAAATCCGCGCGCTCCATTGATAACAGAGAGAGGACGAGACAGAGTGATTCAGCTATTGTTGTTGGAGGAAACAATTTTTTGGTTGTCTGTGTTCTCAGCTTCCATGTGTTTTCAAGAGTATTTTATTTCGGTCCCAACAGGGCGTACGCATTCGGCACAACAGTTTGCATCTCTTGTACAGCTAGATGTTCTGTTATTAATTGTAAATTTGAACTATTGTCGGAATAAAAAAAAAACTGTCACCTACAGTATGCAGAAAAACGCTCCCACCCAACCCCGCATGAGGATTTTCAACCCTGCGGCGCGCTTTCTCATTCGCTCACATTTCAGTGTATTTCAGCTTCTGTCGTCTTGCGTTTGTAACTCATACTATTGTTTCTTAAATTTCAATTAACATAAAATCTAGGATACTAATGTGTTCCACATTATTGTATTTTCAAACTTCTGAAAATTTTAAATTTTTACTATTAACAATCACCAAATTCTGTCTGTGTGTCCGTTTGTTCTCGGTTCCACGACCCTAGCGAAGTCCCCAGTAGACCAAAAATTCTCAAATTTTCACAGATGATCAGAAATAGCAGCGAGATGTTGCCCGTCTATTTTTGCATTTTGAAATTTTGTTTCTGACGTCATCTGGAGACGTTACTCCATTCCTACAGTGCAACTGTTTAATTATTTTCACGTCACTTCCGTCCAACCCCTCTATTTTTTTCTTATCCACACCATATCTGATAAAAAGGTGATTTTGTGAAAATAATTATTTAGTCTTAGTTTTGAAAGAAGAGAGAAAGAAAAAGTTCAGTAAACTTTAAAATTCTGACTTTCTGAATCCCCTAACTTCTCAAAAACTGAATTTCGGAGATTCTGATTCACGAAATTTGATTATTTTTTTCGAAAATGCGAAATTTCTAACCATTCCTATGCTTCAAACATTTTGGTTTCACTCTGAAATTCTAAAATTCTAATTCAGAAATTAGGAAAATTGGAAAAACGGGAACTCGAAAATACCGAGATTTGAAACTTCGGAAATTTTGAATCAGAGAATTCAAATGTCCAATGTTTTGGAAAATCAGAAGTATAAAAAATCAGATATTCGGAATATTACGAAATTTAAAAATTTGAAAGTTAGAACACTCGAAATTTTGAAAATCCAAAATCTCGAAAGCAAAAAACCAGAAAAACCAGAAACTCAGAAGTTCAGAATATCAGAAAGCCCAAGTTCGGAATTTAGAAAATTCGGAAATTCATAAACTTTCTGAATCAAAAACTCAGAAATGTGTTTTAAAGAAAATTCTGAAAATCTGATTCGTGTTAAAATTTTTACGGAAACTCGAAAATACGAAATTTCAGAAATTATGAGTTCTGAAATGAAGTATTTTAATAGAAAAATCTTTGAGTTCTAGAATCGCAGTTCCGAAAATTCAGGACTCCTGAATTTCGAAAGTTCTGAAAAAATTATAAGTTGTCAAATTTCAAGATATTCGGGAATTCAGGAAAATTATTAGTTCTAAAAATTTGGAAATTTTGAACAGTTCGTGTATCAACTAAAACACATTTCTGATCTACATTTCTGATATATCTGTCCAAGCCCAAACTCAATCGGTTAAGGCTGTTGTAAACGGGAGCCAGAAGGTTTAGCCCCGAAGGCGCATAGGCAGACTGTCACTCCAGTTTATGAAAGTTGACAACACAATCAACTAAAACTTCCTCTTCTGATTCTCTCCGATTTGGAGATTCAAACGTTTTTAGCGAAGCCAGGAGATTGTAGCCGCCGACAGGCGGCGGAAATCGTCTGGTATTTTTAGAGTGAGCATTTTTCAGCATATGGTAGGTGACAATTTTTCTAGCTGATACACAGATCAATCTAATTTTGCCAAAAATTACTTTAGTTTGCACTGAACTCAATCTCCGACATCTCTTCAGTCCGAATAATCCTAGTTTTTTCAACTCTCCTGCGTTCCTTCTTCTTCTTTTATCCCTCTAATTCTGGCATAATTATTCCGGAATTTTTGTCATTTTTCGCTACTAACTATTCCCTTCCCTTTAATACATCATCTTGCACTTTTCCTCTTATTCATATCTCTCTCTCCATTCCTCTGTCTCCTCCCCTTCCTCCCACATTCTGACACAATTCGATTCACGAGATGGACGGTTTCCGCTTTCGTTCAATTTCCAGTGACTCATTCTCATACGCCCGCCCCTTTCTCCCCTTTCTCCCAATTTTCAAAACGAAAAGTGTCAAATTTCATGTCGCTTACCCTACTCCGTTCAGCTGTTCCGGTCGATAATAAATCGAACCATTCACCAGATTGCTTTCTGATTGAATTTTGATTGGCAATGCCGGCGTTCGAGCGGTGGGCTTTGGGTTTTGCTGAAAATTGTAAATTCTTGTTTTCAGAATGACCTATAGTCACTGTACCTTGCACTGAATGTACTGTGGATTCTGAACATTTCTAGCCAACATCTTGGAGTAAGCTTCCGAGTATGGAGTATGGTTCACTCCCACAGTCGGCTTCACGCCAGCCTTTGATGAAATCGGAATGTAACTGTCACATCCACCACCAACCGGATAATAGTGTATGGACTGCTGTTGTGGTTTAGGAGTCGTAGTGGATATATGACCGTACAACTGGTTTGAGAGCCCATGTTCATTCTTCTCAAAATGCCTTCCAGGTGCCATTTCATAGTGAGTTTGTTCTTCTACATAAGGAGGAATGACATCCGATAAAGTCTGAAACAAGTTTATTTCCGTTTCATATGTTGCTCTCGACACTCACTGGATGAATAATCGGATTCCTTGTGCCGGTGCCTGCTATCGACTGACTCACTAGTTGCTCATAACTAGTTGCCCCATCCGACGACGAATTGGCTGTCGTTCTCCTAGATGAAACATGCAACGGTGAGTAGGTAATCGAATCTGGAGAGTTTGGACTGGGAGGTATCGTCTGGTCGAGTGCGCTCTTCCGATGATGATTAGGAAGATGTCCAGGACGCATTATTGAGTCTTTGTCAGAATCTTTAACGAACCGTCTGGAAAAACAACAACTGTGGGTTTGCGGCGTTTGCATCGAATACAAACAATCGGTGAGTAATGTTTTTGTCTCTTTTGTGTTCTTTGAATAATGATAGAGGGTTGACGATGAAATAAATTATGAATCATAGAAATCTTGAGGGGGAATTTGAGTCAAGGAAAAAATAGACTCACTCTGTTAGATTTGTCTGCTTCACTGGTCCCTTCGCAGTTGGTGATGTCTTGCTTTTCCTGTAATTTTTCAGAATTATTTTTCTCCCGATTCATTCTGAATTCTCACTTATTCGAACTAGTGTCATCCCAAGAATCGGCAGCAGACTGCGCTCGTGATCTGGCTCCAGCTTCCAGGAATGGAATTGCAGCTGCTCCACGAGTCGTCTGTCCTGTTATTATCCGATTGCTGGAAGTCGTGGAACTTGATCGGCTTGATATGCTTCCAGCTGCCGCGCGATCCTCATGCTCTTCTTTAGATTCTCTTTTTTCTCTTCTCCACGGCGCCCTTGCAAAAACCCTTGACAGCGTTCCTTGTTTCTTCTCTTTCGCACGTCCTTCGTCTTCGGCGTTATCAACTAAAAAACCGTGGATCAGAATAGGGATCATCGATAAATCATTCGAAATTTTATCACTAACACTAAAACGTTCACAATCACAACACCTACTTCTCGCAAACAAGTTCCGCATATCCTGGGTGGGAGAGACCAAATGAGCATCATACCCGTTAGGATGTGTCTTTTTGTGACGAATCGCATTCTTTCTAGATATTCTGTGAGCACTTGGTCCGACTGTATTAGATCCGCTAATTATGTCTTGTATCTGATAGAGGTCTGGACTACTCATTGATAAAGAAGATTGACGACCGTTGAGTCGTGGAAGTGTTCCTCCGTTGAAGTTTTCGTCATTCCCTGAAATGCACGAGCTACAGACCACGACACGATATCAATCAACCAATAAATAGGTGAAAATTAAAAAGAATCCATTTTGAAATAAGGATATTTTGATTGACGGTTTCAAATTGACTTTTTCCAACTGTATTTCCTCCAATAGATGTCCAACCAACCCTTCAACTTTGAGCTCAATTATCTTGACTCCTGTGAAAAATATCGAAAATTTGTCAACTGATGAACTGTTTATCATAAAATTACAAACATTTTATCAATTGATTTATTTTCGATATCTTGCATAGGAGTCAAGAAAATCGAGCTCAAACTTGATAGCGTGGGGCCTTTCTATTACAGGTTTGTGCGAAACTTCGAAATAAGGATTTCTTTTATTGACTGTTACAAAACTGATTTTTCCATAACTGGTGATATTCATCAACATGCCATGCAAATTGAGCACTGCACAACAATCTTTGTTTTTTTTCTATTGCTTCAAACCACTTACAGTTCACTTTTAATTTTTCCTTGTTCCCTTTCTCTGCGACTTGAACAGACAACAAATGCTTAACATCGCCGACTGGTCCAGTAATGTCAGTCTTGCTCACTTTGTGATTCTTATTTAGTCTTGCTTTTGTCTCCGGGGCGCCAGACATACGATGTTTCGGGAGTCCTGGCACAGTCGTATAAACTTTTCCCATCTGCGTTGCAGCTGATCTGAAAAAATGCTCATTAAAAACTATTTTAACTTATCATCAACTTACTGTATATCCATTTGCTTGTATAACATATTCATCATCATTTTAGATGGTGCTCTTTGTAAACCAGCTGTAATTTTCTCTTGTGTTTTCAATTGTTCGTCGTATGCCTTGAAATCGACAACCAATCCCGAGAACGTAGGTCGGCAAGTAGGGTCTAATGACCAACATGACTGCATAATGTCCTTCCATTTTGTTGGGAACTTTTCGTCAACTAGTAGACTTTGACCACGCATTACAATCTGCAAATATGTATCAGATAATAGAAGATATCTCTAGTCGAATTGTAGCAAACCTGAAAGGCGATAGTTGCTGGAATCTGTCCTTGATAGGGGTCTTCTCTTGAGAGCAACTCCCATAAAACTACTCCATATGACCAAACATCCGAGGCTTCTGACCATGACCCGTCACGGAAAGCTTCTGGGGCGAGCCAAGCGTAAGTGCCAGCAGTACTGAACCTGTTCGTGTCCGCTGTCATTTTCCTCGTCACTCCAAAATCAGTGATTTTCAATTGAAGTTTATCTAATGGCCGTCGTCCACATTTTGTGCACCATGGATACGTCATATCCTCATCCATGCATAGACACACTTCTTCTTTAACCAACACTGAAATGAGTTTCGAATTTTTAATAGTTTTTTTTCTCACAAATCTCACCATTGTCCGCTTTCAAATCTCTATGCACATAGCCTTCTTTGATTAAATACTCCATTCCTTCTGCTACTTGTCTTGCCCAATCCACCAATACTCCTAACGGGATTGAAGTTTCCGTATCCATAGTTCGACAGACTGTTCTTAACGAGGCTCCTTCACAAAGTTCCAGGAGAAGTCCAAAATATGGGTCTTCTAGACAGATTCCTAGCAATTGAACAATGTTGTTATGGGATAATCCATTCACTAGATTGGCCTCTCGCTTTAGTTGATCTACTGAAAACAAAATCTTTGTTTGAAATGAGATTTGGAATTCAAGATCCTACATTGTTCACTTTCTGTCATGTGCTCTCCTCGTGTGTTGAACATGTGCTTGTTGAATCGTTTCAGTGCAGCTTTCCTATGATAATTCTCAGGAACGCGAACTGTACCTTGCTGGAAACATATAATTTTTATTATTGTCGGAATAAAAAAAGTGAGACTCGGTGTTTGCGTACTTTGATTCCCGCCTCCCCCCACCGACGCTCCGCCCATCGCTTTGCAAGTGCGGCGTGGTGTTTTGGCGCGCCACTTGGAGATCATATTTTCTATGAAAATCTCATTAAATTCGATACCGAGTCTCACTTTTTTATTCCGACAATACTTTTTTTCCTCTGGGGCACTCACATTCGACTTTTGTTTTATCCTGAGATCCACTTTGAATACTGTAGCCGTCGCACCATGCCCTATTCTGAAGTCGTCCAGCGTCATCGCCTCATCGGGTAACTTGATATCATCTGCATTAAACGTGTCGTACGACTCCGCATCCGGAAGTAATCTCGCATAATTCGACGGGAACAATCCGATTTTTCCATCGAGTTCACCTCGAAACCATCCATCTTCATGCCTGAAATTGAGAGTCAATAAAAGCGATATAAGTGGATTTTATCGGATGGGTGTGGTGGGGGGGGGGGGGGATGCAATTTTTGCTCTATTGTGTTTTCTTTCCCCATTTTACGCTTACTAATCCCACAAGTATCGGTCAGATTTTGATCTCTTATCGGGGGAGTAGGTAGGCTACATTCCATATTTTGCAAAAAAGGGGATAATCTTTTGAACTTGTGGTGCCTCGGTTATTCCAGCTGATTTTGCCAATTATGCTGCTAGGTTTTTTTTGTTGTTGCTTGAATCCGCATGATATTTGAAAAATTTAAGATTGGCTAAATCAAAATAAAGATCTGATGATGTTCTCAGTCTGCACAACTGACTCAAGTGATCATGGATTACGGTACTGTTGCAAAAGAGAAAAACATACGTGTCTGCAGTGACAAGTTTGACAACAGAGCCCACAAGTAGATCCAGTTCATCTTTATTCTGAGCTTGGTACTCGTAAGCAACAACATATTTCTGAAAATCGAGAAGTGTTGACCTCTAAAACTCCAATTGATCTTACTCTTGGCACAGGGACAGGAGATTCACACGAGATCTGTGAACTTTCGGATCTGATCCGAACAGAAGGGACGGAATCTGTACTTGTAGATGCTGTCGTTGTCTCCTCGTAGCTGACGGATCGGTGGTGTTCAGGAGTTGGAGCCAGGTGGCTAGTGCTTCGTGCTGCAAAATGTTCAATTATCTATAGAGCTGTTGATTTGATATCCGGTTCAATTTTTGAGAGCGTGGGTCGGTGTTCTAGGTAATCTGAATCTAATTCTAAACGATTTTCGGCAGGGACTGACGTAGAAGTTTGATATAAACAACAACATTTTTTCAGTTAAAAAATACTATTTTTCTGGATATTTACAGTTACACATTAATCTGAATTTGATGTTAGATAAGGAGTAGTTTCTAGAAAAAAGATCAAAGATTTTCAAAATAAGTCGGCAAGAAAATAAATTACAGAATAAACGATTTCAGAGTGACTCTTCTTTTGGACTCGGACCAGGTGCCTGCTTTTCATAATTGGTTCAGTAATCCAAACAGAAGACCTGGAGAATCTAGAAATCCCGATATACCGTAAGTGCTGAAACCCGCTCTATACGATAAAGCCCACCATATGCGTGCACTTTGAGCTCAATTATCTCGATTAACATCAAAGATATAAAAATTTTGTAAACTGATAAAATGTTGGTAATATTATGATCAACCTTTTATCAGTTGACACTTTTTGATAGCTCTTGAAGGAACCGAGATAATTGAACTCAAACTACACGTGTTTGGTTAGCTACTATTAGATCCTTTCTTACGATGGAAATTACTTCAAAGTCATTCTTTTGAATAAAACTTTTTTGAGCGTACCGTAGTTTAGCTAAAGAGATCATATCATATTTGAAGATAATATTTTTTTCAGACAGTTTCTTTTCAGTTTTTCCTGTCAACGATTTGCAGTAAATACTCACTTTTGGCTATTGGCGGAATGTTCACGTAGGACGGGAACGATTGATCCATTATGTGTGATTGGGGTCCCCGTGACTCTACTCGTATCTGAAAAATAACTTCTTTTATAGTAAAGATGACCGGTCAAGATTGATTTGAGGAAGAACAAAGTTTCATGGAATCAATACATTCTCATTTTGAAAGCCTTTTTCTCTCTTGAGACACCAGGAGCACGAGTGGGAAAATTGGAAAACGCTGGAACGTTCTGGGTCTAGTCCTTCTTCTTTCCTCGTGTTCTCTTTTTCACGTCTTCGTCTTTTATTCTGTTTCTTCTTCCTTTTTTATTTTTGTAGCCGTGATGAGTGTGAGAAGCGAGACGACGAGAGTCTGGCTAAGATGAAGTAGTAAAAAGAAGAAGACGATCAAAAAAAAGAAGAAGAAGAAGAAGAAGCCGTGATGTAGGTCTATCGAAGAACTGAGGATGGGATCGTGGTATGAGAGAGTTTTGAGTGTAAGAAGAGAAACGAGGGGGCACATAGAAAATAAAGGAAAGAGAGAAAGAAGGTTGACGCCAGGCGAGATGGGGGGCTGCGTAGTGTAGAAGAGAGAAAGAAGAAATGCGCGAAAACTATCGGGTGAAAACGAGAGAGAAAGACAGATGGAAACAAAATAGAAATGAGAATTAAAAATGGAGACGCAGAGGATGAGGCCCGCTCTCAGGAAATACCTGGTCTTTCGGCGAAAAATTCGAGAGACAGATAGAAATGGATGACGCCTCTCTTCGTTTTCTCAACACACTGTTCTATGTTGCATTGTCTCATATTTAGTAGGACACATGCCTCTCTGTCAAATCTTCATCTTCTTTTATCTCATCCTCTTCTTCCCGTGCAAAATGGATGATGTGTTCTCTTCTCAGTTTCTCACTTGAACTTGATACCCTCTTTCTTCTGTTACAACCTTTTTCTCATAGCGTCCTCCGGAGCAAAAATCTTCTGGAAACACCTACTTTTTGTGCTTTGGGCGTTGGCAAGCCACGAGGCATTGGTTATAGAGAAAAAGATGTTTTGAAATAGTTCAATGTCTATTTTTTGTGGTGATAAGCTGTAGGATAGAAACTGCGAATTGGTAAACTTTTGGTCTTTATAAAGGTTTCGGACTAGAGTCAACTAATAACTATAGTGGATTGTCTAGCAAACAACTTTTCCAAAGAAACTATTGAGATTCAAAAGTTACGTTCTTTAAGTTTCAAAAAGGTTATTTGCTGTTTCTGGACTAGTTCAGAGATTATGAAGTTTGCTCATTTTGGATAGTAGAAACAAAAAAAAATCAAATATACAGATTTAGAAATTTTTGAGGGGTTTCAGAAATATGGTTTTCAGAGAAGTAGAAAATTTGAAATTCGAAAAATTGTAGTTCCATTGTTTTGAAAAGCCTATTGTTTGAAGTTCAGAGAAGAGCTAGACAACAGATTTATTGTAAACACTCTAATAGAAAGCAACCCCATACTTGCGCTTTGAGCTAAATTATCTCAATTTCTACAATAGCTAACAAAATTCTGCCAACTGGTAATATGCTTATCATAGTATCACCAAAATGTTATTAATTGAAATATTTTTTATATCTTTTATAGAAATTGAGATAATTGAGCTCAAAGATGAAGTGGCCTTCTACGGTAAGTTGTTTAAGATAAGTTAACAAAAAATCGAATTTTAATTAAACATTGAAAAATATATTCTCAGGTCATGGTTGACAGCTATCACATGAATAGTATTCAATAACTTTTCAATAGTTAACAACTCTTGCTAACCTCTAACCAAGCCATAGCTCCAAGCAGAGTCACTTTTAAAAGTCAACGATCAACCACTTCGGAAATAAAACTCCATACATCTGGGTCACTTTTTTTTGACATGAAGTAGTAACAATATTTTTTTGTTGTCAGACAAAAATTGCTACAGTACACATATCGAATATTTTTTCGATTTCTGCTCGCTTCATCTGTACATCTGGCCGAATGCAAAGGTAAATTTTGTGCTCTCTTCTCTCTCGTTCTCTTCTAGTTGGAAGAGCATTTCGGATGACATCAATTGAATAAACATTTCGAAAAGAGAGGGTCTCTCTCCTTTTCGAACAGAGAAAAGAAGACAAAACATTCGGGCATGCTTGCGATACCTCTTTTGCAAATAATATTGGAACGTCATGTACTTTTTGAAGTCACATTTTGAAGAAGCAGTGGTTGGAATTTTTTCACAAATGCGCTCTACAGAGATTGTAAGAGTGAGAAAATGGAACAGTAGGAATACAAGGAAATAGTAGGTGCCGAGACAGTCAAAGAAATCGTAAACAATTAAAAAATTAGGAAATATTTCGAGATGGGTAAAGGGTAGATTTGTTTTAGTTGATTTCAAACTTTACAGGTTTTCGGAAGGTTTTAGAAATCCGACAATCGTTTCATGGACTGTCTGATTTTGCCTAAATCAGGCCAATTAACAAATTAAACAAGTAGTTATATTTCCTCAGAACTTCTCTACAGAATAAGGAAAGGAACAAGAATAATGACTAACATATCCAAATATTGGGTTGTTAGTAACATCCTAAAACAGTGTTTTGTTACTAAAACGAGAACTTCCGTTTGTCTTTCGATTAGCCAATACGCATTCAAAAACAGAATCGAAGGGCAGAGAGGAAGAAAAAAATTTACAGAATGATAAGAAAACACACACATACAAACACGAGAATTCTTTTGGTTTTCGCTATTTTTTATCAGCATACTCCGTGCTGAAACTCAGTATTTTTCTATATGTTCTCTTCGTTCTAAATGTTATCGTTATCACAAGATTTATAGGGAACATCATATCACATCAGTTTCCGTTTCAAAAGTTCAAAATTAAGAAAAAAAAGGGGAAAATTAAATAAGGCAATTGTATTTACAGACAAATTTGATATTTATCGGGGATTCTCTAACAATGACCAGAAGAAGAAGAGTTGAGGTGTGGGTAGAGGGTACGGTAGAGCAAGTGAGAGATGATTTCTCCGACGACAGTAAAGAAGCAAAGATAGACGTTGAATGTCATGAAAATAAGCATCAAGCAGTAGGCAATGGTGAGCTGGAAAAGTTGGAGAAGTGGATCGATCAAATCGAGTTGAGGAGATCTTCTGGAAAATAATTGAGTTTCAAACTTAAATTTCTTCGTGTAGTAACTTACTTCAAGCGATCTTCTGGAGCGATTGGTGGCTGATGAATTTGGATTTGAGCTTTTCGGTAATCGCGGAAAAAACGGATCGTCTCCATCAAAAAGGCCAGAAGAACAGTGACAAAACATGAGACCACGATTCCTAAAAATATATTTTGTTTTCATCCAAAAAGAGCCAAAAAATTAAAAAATCATGAGACAAGGCAAATTGTAAACATTATTTCAACACTGCAAGAATGGGACTATGGTTTCCGTTCGGTTTACTGTTTTCATGTTAACTGCAAAACTGAAGCATGCGGGAAATTTGAAGAATGCTGATACCGTAAATAGTCTAATAGAAACCAACCCTATACGTGCACTTTGAGCTCAATTATCTCGGTTCCTTCAAATGATATCGAAAAATTTTCAACTGATAAAATTTTTTCGTATAATGACCAACATCTCATCAATGGACGAATTTTTGCTTCCTTTTGCAGTAACCGAGATAATTGAGATTCAAGGGTAAATGATAAATAGAGTATTTCGTTTTGGGTTTCAAACTTCATATCGAAAGAAATTCGGGTCAAATGCGGAAAAATCTTAAATCAGTTAAAAAACCTCTATTTTTTAACTTAAAAAATGACAGAGATCTGTTATACCGGTTAGGTATTTACACCCACTGCGAACATCTACATCTCGTGTATCTTTTTTATAACTTTTCAGTGAATACATAAATTGCAATACGTCATGCATCTGTTTAGTTATTTATATACCGTACCAGTCGGCTTTCGCCGCCTGTTGGCAGCTACAATCTTTGAGCTTGCCTTAAAACGTTCGTTATTTCTTAGTTTTTCCACCTATTGTTTCATTATTTTCCGGTCACCCGGATCCAGGTTATCCGGATCCACGTCACCCGGACCCAGTTCACCCGAATATAGGTCAACCGGTCAGGGTCACCGGACCCAGGTCACCCGAATCCAGGTCACCCGGATCCAGGTCACCCGTATCCAGGTCACCCGGATCCAGGTCATCCGGATCCAGGTCACCCGGACCCAGGTCACCCGGTCAGGTTCACCCGGATCCAGGTCACCCGGATCCAGGTCATCCGGATCCAGGTCACCCGGACCCAGGTCACCCGGTCAGGTTCACCCGGATCCAGGTCACCCGGACCCAGGTCACCCGGACCCAGGTCACCCGGACCCAGAACCCAGGACCCAGGTCACCCGGATCCAGGACGCAGGACCTAGGATCCAGGATCCCCGGGTCACCTTCTCTGAGCCCAGAGAAGGTTAGAACTAATTCTGCTTTTCATTTCCCTCTTCTTTTATATTACTCTCCCAGAGGTCAATGGTTTCTAAACCAATTCACGTAGTAATTTTGTCTAGAATTTCAAACTTCTATCGAAGCATTTTTTTTGCCACGGGGTTTAAAAAAATTTTTTCATCACGTTTAAATAAACTTGAATTTTTACTTTTGAAATCTGTGAAACTCTTTAAAAAGATCGGTCCTTTGAACCGAATTATCTCGTTTCCTGTTTGAGATATTAAAACATTTTCAACTGATGGAATGTTTCTGATATCAAGACAAATATTTTCGCTTTTAAAATTTCTGAATATCTTTCACAAGAACCGAGATATATTTTGCAAAAGTTGCGAAATTATGGTTGTCGGTTTACGCCCATCTTGAACCTTTTGGGTTTTTCTATATTATTCATCCTAATTTATTTTTTCAACTTTGATGAAATACCACTCACCCACGGCTGTTTCAGTTTTCCAGAAATCGAACAAAATCGTCTCTTCGGTGCCAAAATGGAACGACATCGCGTGGTGCATCATCATATGATCAGAGGATTGAGTGTTGGCAACCGCAGTGTTGCCTGTTCAGAATCAAGTTTTGGTTAGGCAGGGGATACAAATAGTAAAACAGCGGAAAAACAGCGGAAAAACAAAAAGGGCAACGAGGACTAGACAGGGGAATGGAAGTAACTAGAATCGAATTTTCTTGGAGAGTTGAGCTGTGACGTTTTAGACTTTTTCAGATGTATTCAAGGAGGGTGTCTTGAGCTTCTAACTCCCAAACTGAGAAACCTTACCGATAGTTCCCTTGTGAGCGTGATGATGATGGGAATGATCCATGTTCTCTGAAACAAAAGAATTGTGGGAAAAAAACAGAATAAAATTTATCGATATGAGAATGAATGTAAAAGGTGTACAAGACAAGAAGATGCCTCGTTTACACTGTATGCATCTCTGGCAAGAAGGAGAAGTATTAAAAAATGGGAATGGGGTGGGAGGCTGAACTAGAAAACCGGTCTCATAGTTTATTCTCTTTCTTTTTTGTGTTTTCATCTCCTTACAAGAAAAGTATGTTATCTGTGGAAAATCTCAAATTATTGCGGAAAACGGAAGTGTGAACATGATTCTGGTGAAAAATCAAATGGAACCAAATGCAAGTTTTGGCTATACAAGATTAGATTGCAAAAAAAACGGACAAATAAGAAAGATGAAGAAGAAAAAAGAAGAAGAATGATAAGATAGAAAACGGACATTGCGATACAATGGGTTCTATAGCCGAGAGTCCTGACTCATGGTGTATGAAATGAATAACCTGAGAATTGAGAGAGAAGGGAATGAAAAAAAATGGACGAAGCTCCGCTTTGTTTATTTTTTTCGCATGTTGTCAAGATGAAAAGTGACCCAACACATTGGCCAGGTTTTCTCGAGGTGCACAAACACTACTTGGAGCCAATAATATGGATTCGAGGAGCGGTTTGGTATAGGATCGATAAATAATCAGCTGCACTTTCTGATGGACCTTTTTTATGACTTTGACCGTTTTCAGGAGTCTGGAGCTCGACTGTCAAGCTTCCGATCACTTTGAAAACTTTGGAGGGTGTGAAACAGACCTAGATTTAAAACTGTGCTAAAAGGGGAAAATAGCTGAAAAGCTAGCAGTTTTCAAAAATTATGTGAATTTGTAGTTTTTAATTTACAGGGTGGCTGAAAAGTATTGAGACACTTGTTATGATGGCTCTTGGCACCGTGCCAAGTCGTATTTTCGAAAAGTTTCGTATTATTTCGAAAATAGGGAGCGTATATAAGCCGACATTAGAGCCATTTCCCATCACTTTATCTCTTCACGAAGTTATGCGAGCTTCTCCTCATCGCCAAACCATTGCCAAGCTGTTCAACGACGGCATCTCCACCGGTGACATCGCTCGAAGACTTCTTCTTCCGAGAGCAACTGTCTATCGAGTTGTGCAACAATTGAAAGATCGAGGACATGTGTTGGAGCTTAAGAAAAGCGGAAGACCTCGTACTGTCAACACTCGCCGGACTCGTGGCATCATCAAGAAGAGAATCACACGAAATGATGCGGTCAGCATGAACCAAATGGCTTCATCGCTCGGAATCTCAAGACAATCGGTTCAATCCATTTTGAAAAAGGACTTGGGTCTGAACAGTTATCGGCTCCTTCGTGGCCAATACCTCACAGAACAGTCCAAGAAGAATCGGCTCGAAAAAGCGAAAAAGTTGCTCGACGCACTCAAGGTGCGCCGCCTCTCTGAAGTCATTTGGACTGATGAGAAAATTTTTACGGTTGAGCCGCTTCCGAACCGACAGAATGCTCGGCAATTGTTGTCAAAGGACGAAGCAAAGTCCCCAAAACGTCGTCTGGCCTACAAGAGACTTTTTCCAAAGTCAGTGATGGTGTGGGCTGGATTGACGTCGGAAGGTAAAGTCCCATTGGTTTTCATTGATAGAAATGTGAAAATCAACTCGGATGTGTACCAAAAGTTGGTGTTGATGGATGTTTTACGTCCGTGGGTCACTAGCCACTTTGGCCAGCAACCCTTCATTCTTCAACAAGATTGGGCCCCGTCCCATGGCTCGAAATCCACGAAAGCTGTTCTCGACGCTCATTTCCCTGGCTACTGGGGCAAGGACATGTGGCCCGCTTCCTCGCCCGATCTGAATCCACTCGACTTTTCCGTTTGGGGATATTTGGAGGAAAAGGTGATGGCTCGATCGCACCCAAATGTGGATTCACTTTGCTCAAAGCATGGGATGATCTTGACGATGACTACCTCCGGCGCACCGTCGCTTCTGTTCCAGCTCGTTTGAAGGCGTGCATCAAGGCCGAAGTCTCAAACTTCGAATATCTCCTCTGATATCTTTTCTATTACTATCATTTGTTGAAAAAATAAATCTGGTTCTTTTGTTGAAACTCCATTTTTGAAAATACAACAAAAAACAAGTGTCTCAATACTTGACAGCCACCCTGTATATGTGTTTTACATCCTTCACAATTTTCATCTTCTTGTTGACCGGTACTGTATATGAGACTACATTCTGAAAATATCTTCCTTATTTATAAAACACTAGACGCGTCTGTTGATCCCGGTGTCGGTCTGTGGACTTTTGAAAAGCTTGAGAAATGCAAAGAACTATAGAACCTTTAAGAAACACTGAGAAGCGGAGAGGCGACCCAGTAAGACACTACATTAAATAGCGCCGAAGGCGCACCAGCTTGCTGGAATTGTATTAGTTTTCCAGTTGGGGAGTTTTCCTAACCATCTTCAAATCGAGCTACAAAACATCAAACTCTGGAATAAAGATTTATAAAATTCTTCATCATAAAATAATTCGCATTAAAAACTTTTTTTTGTAAACACTGTTGAACTTCTATATGTTTCAAGCAATTTTTGATCTTTTGAAAATACGGTGCGAGATACGAAAAATTATAAACTTAATTCGATGCAGTATACAAACTTACTAAACCTTTTTTGGTCTGGTAGAATAGGAGGACATACAGATACACAGACAGATTCTTCTTACAACATCAAAGCAACAAAAACTACCATTCACAATAGCAAGTACAAGCAACCAGAAACTGTCGACATGTCTCGGGAGAAAATGTCTCAATAACTCTTTCCGCAGTACAATGGAAGAATTCAGTTCAGAGAGAATCACATGAAATCAAACGAAAGTATCGTTCCGGTTCTTTTCAAATAGAAAAAGAGTAATTGTTGGTTAGAAAGAGTGTCGAGGATGAAATTAGAACTCGAGATTGATGAGATTTCCTCTCCTCATCCATCTGCTTTCTTTTTTCTCCTCTGGCGACCTTGTTTTAAATGGATTTCGAAAGTTTAACAGTTGGGTCAGGTGTGGAATTTTGATAAAATGAAGAACGATTTGTGCAGAATGACATCTTTATATGAAAACATTGTTAAAGCAATAGGATTCGTAAATATAAGAGCTTTGAATTATTCAATTTTAGTGTTCTCCAGTTTCTCTGGCTCTTCTGACTTTGATTGGTCCTTCTTCGTTGATGGATAGTACCAACTGGAAATTCGTTTTGTCGTTTTAGGAATTCTGATTATCAAGACTTACAGATTCTCCATCAATTGACAAATCAGCAGTTGAGAATACAGCTAGGATAGAAAAGATCAAGACGAGAACTTTAAGAAGATGAGAGAAAACGTTCATTTTGGATTCTAATGAATCGGTTATCTTTCTGCTGAATGATGTAAATGTATGAAGCAGATAAGTATGGTCAAGGACGACGGAAAAGGGTGGAACGTTTCGGATGAAATGACACAGGATGAGAGAGTGAATAGAAAGAAGTAGACGATCAGAATTCGATTACCACTTCACTTGTTGCTATATTCCCGAGAAAAAGAAGGCGGCGCCCTGGAAACGAAGGCGACCTACTTGACACATTTGGGTAGAGGGCTGCTGAATTGATAGAGTTTCCTGGGTGGTCGGTGGAAAGAGTAAATGAACAAATGATTAGGTCTTATTTAGAGAAAACAAGTTGGATTTATTGGGAATGGACAAATATTTACGCCGCCCAAGAGGTAGATAGCATTGAGATAGATAGCATCAGACTATGTGTAGCACAGAAGAACAAAAACACCTGTGCCTTCAGTTTTACTCTTCCTGAAAAAGTTTTCTACATGTGTTTTTAATGTTTCACATGGGTCCAATTTTGCCTTTGTAGGTCGGTCTTTATCAGTATTGCTGATATGACAGTGTTTAATTTCATTGATCTCTTTATTTTTGGTTGATTGTTTTATCATCCACTGTCTGGAATACCGTGAAACCTGTAGTAGAAGGGCCCCAACACTGTCAAGTTTGAGCTCAATTATCTCAACTCCAGGGCAAGATATTAAAAAATTTTCAGTTGACAACATACTTCTGATATTATGATAAACAATTTATCGTGTTAACAACTTTGTTAAGTATTTTACGGGAACCTAGGAAAATTGCCTCAAAGTTAGAAGTTTGCGGGACCTACTATTACAGATATTACGATACCTGTGGAATACGTCTACTCTCGATTATCAATTGGTTATGAAAAAGTTGGTTTCCGATTTGCCAGGCATTTACCAGGATTGCCAATTTCCTTCTAGTTAGTTTTCAACTGCTTGACAAGTGCGCAAAAAACGCGTCAACACACAGATTCTCATCATTTGGACACCTCGCGCATATTACGTTGCCAGCCAATGACAATTCTTGTGTGAACGTAATAAATGCATCATCATTGACAAATCTCTGCTTCTCTCTTTTTCTTTCTCTTTTTTTGGCAAGTCCAAAAAGTATGGGTCATAGTGCTCCCAGCAAATAATACAATCCTAATTATGAGACAACGTCGTCCCCCGGCGATTTCTCGCTTTTCTGACAAACCAAAAATTGAAACGAGCAGTACCCTCTTATTTTCCCTTTTTCCTTTTTCTTCTCTCCAGGTGAATTCACTTGCCGTGGATTCACCACCAGTCCTCCCGATTGTGTCTGACTCCGACGCGCGGCAACCGAATGATATACGGGGCTGCTCGTAAATGGGCCCATCCTCGCCGGCTATTATAGTGCACTAAACGTGCAAAAGGCGGGAGAAAACAGACACGAAGGAAGGAAGAGAGGAGACGCCACATCGAAAGCAACGAATCGGAGCCCCAACGACGCAACAGCAGGCGTTTGCGGCAGGCGAGTCCAGTCGGCTGGTAGGTCCCTGTGTGTGTCCAGTTTCGACGGCAGTGTCTACTAAATTTTTTGATTAAAAAAAGCAGGGAGCCAATTTCCTCACACATTCAATTTTGGGAGAGAGAGGAAATTATACACCTCCTTTTGAGTGATCGTTCTGGGTTTTGTGTTGGTGAGAGAGATGTTGTTATTTCTCTTGTACGTTGTTTTGTAAGTGACCTCCTCTTTCCTGTCCCACCTGTTAGTGGGAACGTTTGATGTCCGCAAACACGCTCTGTAGAACTTTACCAATTTTTTTTGAAGTGGGTTCTTTTTCGAGTGTTTTAGTGCATTTCAGAAAAAGTTACCGTAATCTGTAAGGATTTCTTAGGATAATTGGAGCATTATAAATTATAGGTGAAACTTTTTTCAGTTAGCATTTCCTGAAAATAAATGTATTAACAGGATATTCAGGATTTTCAGAAAAATGAGTACTACCAGAAATTTCCGTTTTTTTCAGAAAAAAAACTTGAATTGGGGGTCTACGATTAGATTTGAATGTGTTTCCGATAAATTCGTAATCTATTTCTTATTTTTTTGATGAATATATTCATTTTTTAAACTTATATTCATTTTTCATTTTTTAAACTTTCAGATTACATTGAACAACACCAGTTCTTTGATTTTTTTGCCCTGGACATTATTAAAACCCCCTCTATAAGTTTATCACATGTCTTCAACCCAAATATATCTCATAGTCAGGCATACCGTAAAACCTGTAAAAGACGGGCCCTCTTGGATAGGAGCCTAGATAAATCAGCCCAAACTTGACACAATAGCTCAAACAGAACCCTTCTATTACATATTTTACGGTTGTTTACGACTGAAATCGGAGAACACCGACCTCAACCTTTTTTTTCACTTTCGCCCTAACTGTTTATTGTTTCAAAATTATACCCTTGTCAACATTGCGGCACGACGATTACAAGGGTCGCGTACGGCAGAAACAGACGCAATGGGCGCAGTTTCGAGTGATAAACGATTGAGAGGGCGCCAGTCAGACAGACGGTCCAGCCACCCGAACAGGAGAGAGTACGTTGCCCGCCCGAAGCGAAACCATCTCGCCCCCATTTTTTCCCTCTTCTCTTATCGAACTGCCCTTTCTCCTTCTCCGATGCAAATCGGAAGATGGCGCTTTTTTGTGTTTGAATTCTCTATTTCCTCTTATAGGAGAACAATGTATCGCTTTCTTTTTTCACAATTTGCATACACCCTCTCTCTCTCATTGTTCTTTTTGAACACATGTTCCTATTTTTGAATTTTTAGGTATAACCGATGCTGCCAGAGAATGGTATATACACAGAATCCGCGTTAATTCGGGTAGTTTCCAGATATATTCTTTATCAGGTAGCCATAAATTATTTACGATTTTTAAAAATTATTTTGGTTTTTTGAAGAATGTGACGCTTGAAAAGTTACGTAGTCAAAGTGAATCAGGATGGATCGTAGTTCCAGACGAAGGAGCGACGATTCTGGAGCGTCTGTTCACGAATGCTGATCAATCTATCAGTGAGTTCAGATTATTTTTAGGCGAGGTGAAATTTCATAGTAATCCTGGCCTATTAAATTTCTCCTTTTTAATTCTATCATAAAAAATTTATCTGCCATCATGAATGGAAAAATGCTAGGTATCAAACAAATTCATTCTTTTTGATGAGGGTGATTAACATAGGATGGCTGGGACTGGTTTTGAGATAGTAGAAAAAGAAAGAGCCTTCTTATTTAGTTGTATTTATAGCTATAAATTCACACAATTATTTTTTCAGAAATGTATGGGTCTCCAAAAGAGTTGGCTGAAAATCTGAAAGTGTTTCGTGATTTTAGTGGAAACGACGATTTATTCAATTTTTCAATTGGAGATCCCTATAATGTGAGTTATCGTGATAGTGACCATAAAAACTGAAACTATATTATTTCAGCACACAGTTGTAAAACATCGAAGTTTGAAAAACGAGCAGTACATTTACAAACGCGATCTCTTTCAATACATGATGATGACCCTGATCAAAAATACGGTGTTTTTGGTTCGTTGGTATATTTTCTTCTATATTTCAAATCAAAATGTTTAGAATGAAGAGGTTCTATGTGCTATTGCAATGTTCACATTGAGATCCAGCGAATCTCAACTAGCTGAGTGTTGTGAATTCATCAAACATGACCCACGAATCATGCAAGAAGTGCAGAAAGATCTTGTAATCCATGTGATGGCTGCAGAGGTTACTGCTGTAGAAATTGAGAACCCTCAAGAAACTGTTCTAATCTTTAGCGCGAATTTCAACAAATGAAAGCTGACGGATCGCTTCAAGCACTTTTCTCCAGCCATCGGTGCGAGAAGATTTTCTCGGTTTACCAAAATCTCTTGCCAAAAGCAACCGAAGAAGACATTGTTGAAGTTGAGAAAATATTCCGTAGGAATTTCGGAAGAATGAAGCAACAAAATACGGTTATCGACGTCTCATTCTGTCATCCGCAATTGTGAAAGCGATTCATACTGTTATGGAGCGGTATCGTTTTCTGTTTTTTCCATATTCTTATACGGTATGATCGATAACTCATCTTCTCTCTTTAAATTGGTTTATTTTCAGGATGCTCCAACCCCTGTGATTGCTGTAAGAATCTTTGATGACGGTTCGGAGCAATTTGTAATGAAACGAGAACTTTTCGATGCTATCAATATCACAAATCCATCAAAAAAGCCTTTGGTCCATGACGAAAATCATGGATTTCTGTCAACATTGTCAACTGATTATGATGGGGAATTCAGCAAGTACAGTAACCTAATCAATGGTATTGAGGTAGTAAAAATAACACATTTTTCGAAAAATAAAAAAACTAGTATTTCAGTTCATCCGAGTTCCCATAAAAAGGGCTAAACACGGAGCAGTCCCATTACCTGCTCCTAACGGCGGACACTGTATTCTTGCTGTAGATGCATTTTTTGAAATCCTTCGTCCGTTGATCTTCAATAGGAAAATATTCCAAAAGTTCAAAAAAGAAAAGTGGTACGACTTGAGAGCTGCCATATTCCGATTTGAGAATCTTTTGCCCTCGGATATTGTAAGTATTTTAGTGATTCCCAAAAATGAAAAAATAAAATTTCAGAAACGAAAGAATTTTGTTCTCCTGGACTTGGTGGATCAGTACAGAGCTGAATTGAATGGTTTCTGCGATATCTACGAGAAAATTCAAACCAAGAGTATCAGTGATGCCCCTGAGGATGGATTCGCTTCCGAGTATCTGCAGAAAGAATTGAAGAGTTTGGGATTTACGGATCTGTTTCCAAGAACTGTGGATTATGCTGATAGAGTGTACCAAGCAATTAAACAAAAGAAGGGAGCCTTTCTCAAAACAGCCGACCTATTCGATGCGATTGAGAAATGTGTGGTACTTGCGATCCTCAAAGAGTTTCCAAATGTAAGATACTTACATGTTCAATGACTTCTAAGTAATTGATGTTTTCAGCTAGGGTTATTCATTCACAATCAGAACGAGTGTGAGCGTCTCCTTTTCATGGATTGTGAGAAATGTTCGCAGAAAACCAAATCTGTACTTTCCAAGACTAAATGGACAGAGTACACCTACCGTGAAGTTATTCCAGTATACGATGAGAGAGATCCAGAAAATCCAGTATGCTCATTTGTTTCAATTTTGAGTTTCGAACTCATTAGTTTTCAGTTCATGTTCAAACTCATCTGTGGAGGAAAAACGGTGTTGATTCCGAATTACAAATTTTTCAACGAGGAAGATAGAAAAAGTCAACGCATCAAATACTTCAATCTGGATCAAAAAGATGTTGACAGTGTTTCAGAAAACGAGAAGCCAACAGAAGATGCGATCAAGAATGGAAAACTTTTGAGTCTCGAAGGTTTTGATGTTAGTTTATTTTTTACAGTCATTCTAAAACTTTTCACAGCCATCCATAAACAGGAACTTTCAGAAATTCGACAACAAGAAACAAATCTATGTTCGCGCTTTTCCATCAACAAGAGCTGATGGTAACAAGCGAGTTTTCTGGGATGACGTTCTAGAATGTCTCGCTGTTGGTCAAGATCGTTGTGGATTTCCAATGTACTCTGCCTACAAAAATCATAGAGAAATCAAAGATGCGGATGCTTTGAAAACTCTCAGCTTAACAGAGTTTGAACACTTCTGCTCTAACTATGAAATTGATAAGAGCATGTTTACGGTGAGCTTTTCATTCTGGAGCAGTAAATTGTTAACTAAATCATTTCAGATTGTTCCCGATGCAGTCTACGAAGTGGCAGTACATCAATTCCTCACTGACTGCAGCAACCGAACCATTTCGATATATAGTCCAAATGGAAGATTAAGGATGAGAGTTGAGCATGCAGTGTATCATGTATTCCAGTCCGTTTACTGTGATGTCAATTGGAGTAAAGAGATTTGCAAAAAACATCCAGCATGTCTGCAGACTCTCCGAGAAAAAATTATGCAAGTCATGACGGGATACATCGTGTGTCCGGAGGTAACGTCCCAGTCTGGAACTTCCAGACATCAACGTGCTTTCTATTTTCCTTTTTTAGGGAGACTATGTCGCTGTAGATCATGTTGAGGCTAGAATCGCTGATATCAAAACGCACTGCTACTTTCAAATTCGAAAATCCGCATCAACGCCTTTAAGCAAGCTTTACGGTTTGAAGTTTGATGACAAAATCTCCTGTGGATCGTTTCGTTCTGATTCTGAACTCTTCGGCTATCATAAACTTCTAAAAATCTCTCCAAAGGATAAAATTCCCAAAGACAAAACTATTTTGGCATATGTTGCTCGAAACCGGTTCCTCGTTGCCAACTTCCAACTATTCTACGACGCTTCAAACTACGCCATCAACACCGCAATCATAGATGAATTGAAGTTCAAGTACCCTAATGTGGAACAGATGAGAGAAGATTTCTCGCTGTACAAAATCGAACTGCCTCAAAAAACGACAGAAGATTTTGCCCAACATGTGACTCCACGGCCAACCAAAGGTGACACTAAGCCAAAAGCTTCAGTCAAGAAAGTTGTTAAAATCGAAAATTCTGAAAATCCAGTGATCGGAACTTGTAAATTTTGTGAAGAAGCTTCGAAGACTGACATCAAACCCCACAACAACACAATAAAGGCTGATCATGTGGAAAAAGTCAAAAAGGAAACCTTCAGTTATGATTCAGACAATGAAGCACTTTTACTGGAAAATGAGCAACTGAAAATACAGCTCAATGCGTGCCAAACTCAGCTGATGAAGTCGCAAGACAACGAGATAAGGTGGCGTTTCATGAATGATTAAATAGGCTAATTTTTCCAAATTTCAGCTTAACCGCGAATTGCGAGGAACTGATGCAAAAATTAGGTCACTGGGAATCTCTTAACAACACTCCTGGTACTCTTCAGAACACGGTGTGTGCTCTAGAAGAAGAAAAAGAGGCTCTAACAAAAGACAATAACCGGTGAGTCTTTTCTGAAAGATACCAGAGACGTTCGGAATGCCTTTTTTTGAGAAGTGAATCCGAAATAGAATAATTTTATCGGGATCCGGAACACTTTATTCGAACAAAAATCTTACAAAATCTGGAATCAGAAATTTTAAAAAAACACGATATCCTGAATCCTGAATTCCGAATCCTTAATCTGAAATACGGAATACGGAATCATGAATACTGACTTCTCTGAAAGATACCTAGTTCATCATCAATTCATACTTTTACAGGCTCAATGAATCTAATAAACTTTGTCTGAAAAGTGTATTGGATCTGGAAACCCATTACCAAAGGGAGAGGGAAGTTGTTGGACACCTCCAGAGCAATATTGTTTTGCTTCAACGGGATGTTATAAGTCTGAGAGCAGACAACCAAAAGTGAGTTGAAATCTTTTTTTTTTCAAAGAGTAATCCTGAGTTTTTCAGCTACGCTGAAGATGAGAATCAGCTCTACAACATTGTTGTTCGCCGTGAATTACAACTGGAAGAGTAATTGGTTTAGCATGAGAATGACGAAATGCGTCTGATTTTTACAGAGAACAAGAAAAAGTCCGCCAGTTGAATGAGTTTGTCAAAAAATTAGAGAGAACTCTTGAAATCGAGATCCGAGAATTGAGGGGAGACAACCAGGAGTAAGTGGATCTTCAGATTTCCAAAATTTCAAAATAGTTGTTTCAGTTTGGCTGACACAAACAACCTGCTTCTGGAAAAAATAGGCGCACTCAGAGTACAGCTCGAGAAGACGAAACAAACAGAGTCAGAAGCTCCACCTCTGTCGGATGAAAACATTCCAGAAGTGAAAAAAGATTTGAAAGAGTGAGTTGACCTAACAAGGGAACCTTTTAAGTTGACCCTCTAATTTGCATAAAATAACTTCTCAGGATGAAAGAGCGTTCTTCAAAACCTATCAAACCGTTTTCAAAATCTGCTTGAGTGACCTCGAAAGTGTTGAAATTTCAGTTTCAGTGCCAAAAAATCACTTTTTCAGTGTAAAATAAGCGATTTTCAAAAGTGATGTTCTTTCAAACTTTTTGTGTTTTAATTAAAATGAGTTGAAATTTCATATTTTAACATTTATTTCGAAAAAATAATCAAAACTGGAAAATTGGGCACACCCAAAGTGTAGGCAAATTTTGAAACTTCCCAAAACTTATCCGAAAAATTTTTTTTCGAAAAAAAAAGTTGAAATATGAAATTTCAACTTATTTCAATCATACCAAAAATGTTTTAGGTCCTAAAATCTTCTAGGAGTGGAGAAAATCACAACTGAAAATCTGATTTTACACGGAAAAAGTGATTTTTTGGTACTGAAATTTAAATTTCAGCACTTTCGAGGTCTCTTAACACAGGTGATTCGCGAACAATCCGTTACGGACGGTCAGCGTTCGGGCGCGAATGATGAACAAACGGATCCGTTCGCGAACTTAAACTTTCGACTGATTCGCGAACGGGTCCGTTTGTTCATTATTCGCAATCAGATCAGAATACGGAGAAATACGGAATAATGTCTTGTGGTTTTCTGAAAACGGGTCGCGTGCGGTCCGTATGCGGTTCCTATTTCAACCGTGCGCGAACGCTGAGCGTCCGTAACGGGTCCGTTCGCATTTTACCTGTGAAGCAGCTTTTGAAAACGGGTTTTTAGGTTTTGAAGAACGCTCTTTCATCCTGTGAAGTTAGTTTATGCAAATTTGAGGGTCAACTTAAAAGGTTCCCTTGTAAAACTTATAGTGATCACTTTATCTTGTTTTCAGGTCAGAAGAGTTGAGCACCGGTCCATTAGAGTCCAATTGTTCCAAAAGTCAAGTGCATCAGGATTCTGTAGACCGAGTGGCTTCGCATACTCCTTGCTCCCCAACTACATCATCAATCATATCAGTATCTCCTTCAATGACAGGAGAGCCAGACCACGATTCAGAGAGCGTAATGGCATTATTGGCACGCTTCCAAAAAATTAAGGAGAACTTCCGAGAAGAGGAGCAAGTGCAACAGGCGAAAGATATGGTCGAAGAGTGGGATTTTTTATTCAGTCGATCGTGATAATTTGATGTTTCATTTCAGATTAAAAAATCTCTCCAGCCGATCAGATATCAGAATGCTGGCAAACTACGAACTGCAGCAATATGAAGGAAAGATTCGTGATTATTGCCAGACGATAGAAATCATGTATCAAAGGTTGAAGAAGACGAGAGATATTTCTAGTTTCGCCGGATTCCCTTCGACTCCATGCTTCTCGGAGAGATTCATGGAGCAGTACTGTAAACACATGGATGCTAAATAGACGCCCATTTTTTAGCGATTCATTTATTTCACGTCATAAGCTTAGGTCTTACAGTAAGACCGTCTTACTACAAACCATGGAACCAATGATCTTTATTTTCCCCATGCCCAAAAAACTTCAACGTGTCTTTTTTCCCATCGGATCTGTCTTGTTCCACCATTCCAAATCTGCATTTTTTTAACACTCAATCAATTAATTTTAATATTTTTTTGTTCCTAGAGACACTTTCATAACTGTTTGTCATTTAAGATTCTTAAATTGAGAAACACATGCCTTGAATCTTGAATACATTTATTTCAGATCAAAAACGCAGAACCAGTACACACAAATCAAAATTTTAGGAAGCTTCTCTGATCTTCTTCTCAACCATCAGAACAACGGAATCAATTTCTTTTTTCAGTGTGACGATGCATTGCAGAATTGCGTCCTTATCCTCTCCATCCAATAACGCAGCGAGAACTTTCCGATGTTCCATAATCAATTCCAGTCCAATCCTCACAGCTCGATCGTTTTGATTGCTCATATGCATCCATGCAGTAACAGTTTCAGCTAGATAGGCAGATGTTCCAAATAGGTTTTCCACAACTTCAGCGTCGAGAATATTCTTTCTAATCAAAAACTGCTCACGGCTGAGAACATGGTTTCGGAATTTCAGATTGAATCGAACATCTCTTGCTGCTCCACAAATTTCCATAACCGAAGTTTTGATGGCAGGAACTTTTGCGATTTCAGTATGAATTTTGGCCAATGGTTCGTATTTGTGAGAGTCGGTGTTCTCATTATACTGCCAATTACGCCTATATCTTTCACGATATCTTGCGCTGAATGGCCAGTAAGATTGCTTGTGAACGGCATTCATGGTTTCAGTGTTTACTGTGGTTTTACAACTCGGGCAAGTGATGAACTGGCCAGCAGGAAGAAGTACGTTATAGATGGCTTTTCCGCAACAGCAGGTGATTTGAAGAAGTGATTCGGTTCCAGACCCTTGGGCGTGCATCATGGAATCTGAAATGTATAAACAGTTACCAGCCATCTGCTTGCCGCGCTTTCGGCGCTTCAATCAGCTGGCTGGTGCGCCTTTGGCGCGACTTAGTCTAGTTTTTTAACTGGTTCGTCGCTTCGCTTCTCACGTTTTCTTAAAGGGTCACGTATCAACACTTATTTTCCAAGCTTTTTTTCAAAAGTCCACAGCGTGACACGAGGACGGTCAGACATCTCTAGCGTTTTATATACAGTGGCGAACGTTAGTGAGTGTCCCTCTATACTTTTGTTCATAACTTTTCTCAAACTTGTCCAATAATTGAACACTTTTTTGTTAAATGTAGCTGGGTTTTCAAAAAAACGTTGTATAAGTTTTTTGAAACTCAATCAATTTTTTTGTCTTCTGAATCTTCACAGACGTAACGATGACTCCAGAAGAAAAAAACATTTTCCGTCAGAATTTTTTTTAAAGATTGGCTTTGTGATGAAAAATGTTTGGCGT